ATATATATATATATATATATATATATATATATATATATATAAGTGGTAACCAGAAATGTTCTGGAGACGAGTTTTTGTGTTCATTGGTACTTAAAGCTTTTCTATATGGTTTTTATGTCCAAAAAGGAAACATTTTGTTCATTCACAACATATGGTTGGTATTAAACTCTACATTAAGCTAAGGGTTTATGGGCTTCAACTGTTTCACTAGTGTACAGTCTCACTAATGTCTGGATGTTGGGGACATGGCAAAGTTTGAACTGCTTGTAAAACAAAACTCCAGGTCATGCACATTTTGTTGCCCATCTCTGCCCACATCATACCATCATGCTTTGTGCCCAACATGACAATGAGGAAACCTTGGAAGACCCAGAGCTCCCGAGAGAATTATATATTCTATTACCTGGGAATGACTTGGGATCCTACAGGTGGAGCTGGAGAGTCTCGCTAAGGAGAGCTGTTGCCATTGTGACCCGACTATGGCTATGTGGTAGAAGATGTAGAAAATAAAGTAGCTTATGATTGTTAAGAGTGAAACATTATCCTGAGTGGAGAAATATAAATATTGCTTGATAAAGGAGGGGTGGCTGTGCAGTCGTCCTCCAGTGCAAGAGTTGGGTTCACTTCCACATGCCGAAGTGTCCCTGGGCAAGACACTGAACCCCTCATTGCCGCCGATGTGTGTCCCATTGGTGTATGAATGATCTAAAATACCGATTATTCTTTGTATAGATGTAGTAAAGTGCTGTATGAATGGGTAAAGGAGGGCACAGATTGTATTGTAAAGCACTTTGAGTATCTTGATAAGATAGAAAGGTGCTACATAATCCCATATGGACATATGGACTGTATAAAAACAGTCCATATGTCCATAAAGAAAACTTTTGAATATTTGTCACTAAGGTTGTGATCAAATCATATATCTGTAATGGTCATCACTGTCTCCAAGTGTCCTTATGGACATGACATTTGCGTCTTCTGGACATTAAGAGTATCACAAAGCTTTCACGGTTTCTTCTCTTTACTGCAAATGGATTTATGTCCCAATTAGTTCCCAGTTTCATGCTTTCTTGTGTTGTCATCGACCTTTAGGTTGTTGCCAAAGATTATTCTGACCGACACACTGATTGCCATTTCCACCACATTACCGTGGATGAAATGAGCAATTATTTTGTAATGTTTTCATTAACCTCTGACAATTGATGTCTGCAGCCGATCAGACGGGGAAGCTGTTCGTCGGGGACGCCGTGCTGCAGGTTGGTACTCCGCATCGTGACTCGCTTGCTCGGAGGCCAGTTTGGGTCACAGACGAAAGAGGAAACTTAATTTCAGCTCTTTGGGTTTGACAGAGAAATTAATTTGCAGAAAATGGAGCTGAATATTGTTTTGCATAATTTGAACCGGATGAGTCGTTTAACATCTTATATTGTGCACAAATAGTGATACTATTCACTTCAAATTCAATTTATTTAACAAATTTCTGTCAATCTGGGGTTGGTTATTCAGGAGATCGCTAACAAATGAGAACCACTATTCCTCAGAATAACTGTCGTGTTGCGTGTATGTTCACGGAAGTTGATTTGAATCTGACCGTTTTTATCAGATGTGCTGTTTATCTAGAATTTTAAATGGATTCAATGGACAGCAAAGTAATAGCATCAACACTCTTATTGGATGTAAGGAATTGCAGTATGAATAGAACTGCTGCAGCCTCCAGCTTTGGATCATCTCCACTTCATATTTATTTTCAGCATATTTAAACTGAATATAGCATCTCTGTAGAAGGAAACATGGCAAATTAGGAGCATGATGGAAGAGGAGGAGCCAGCTGGGAAATGACAGTTTTCAGGGATAAAGAGGAAAATTAGGGCTAGTCATTTAAAAAAAAAAAAATAGAACATAAAATATCTTATTTAATTTTCTTTTTGCAAAAGTTATTCAATTAAAGGGTTAAAGTTCATGACAGGACAAAAAGGGAACAAAAACTGAACCTGTGTGGCTTATTTTGGAAGAATTTTAGTTAAAAAAAAGCATTTTCTCTGTAAAAACAGGACAGCAGCTTTAGCGTGATCCAGGGCTTTTGTTTTTGAGCCAATTATCTGATATTGTTTTTAATAAGAATTATTTGATTTGAGCTGTTTTTGTCTCCCCTTTGAGATATTTGTCATGTTTTGTCCTCCATTCCCTCTGGTTCCTTCAGTTGACCGTTCACACCTGCTCCACATCTGCTCGTTAACCTCAGCTGCCGCACCAGTAATCCAGTTCAATCATTTCTCCATCACTCTGTTTGACTCATCCTTGCTCCTGGTAGTTCTCTTTCAGGTTTTTTTTTAGTTGTCGACCTCCATGTCTGCAGCTTGGGTCTCACTGCTGCCACACATCTAAGCTTAAGTTTGTAAAGTTTCATCTGAACCAATTTCAAGATTCTTGTGACAATGTTTTTAAGTAGATGAGATCCAAGTGGAGATGTTTACCCATAATGCACAGCATGAACGTTACATTTCTCCATTTGTTAAGCTTTTATATATGGACTTACCAATTGTTACCATCCTCCACTCATCCCCTTCCTTTACTGTAAAACAAACAAAATGAGGTGGTCAGTCCAAGAGTCGTTTGCCTTTTTAAGGTTATGTTCACAAACATATAGTTATTTGTTTTGTTTTTTTTGTTTTTTTAGGTCAATGGCATAAATGTAGAGCAGTGCACCCATCAGGAAGTTGTAAGTATAAAGTAAAAAATTCCACTTTTTTCTACTTATCTTTCCTCCCCAGTTAATTTGAAAATGTTCAAAAAGCAAAATGAATCAAAGGGAATAATGACAAATCTGAGTTAAAAATGAACAAATTATGCCATATTTCAGAGAATAGTAGTTATCTGAAATGTTTTGTTGCATTGTTTAGATTTTTGTTGCATTGAAACTTTGACAAAAACGGACTAAATCAAAAATGCACAGTTTAGTCAGTCAATTCACAGATAATTTACGTTTTAACTTTCTCGTAGTTTTAACAAACTTAAAATAAAATCCTGCTGTTTTTTACACCAAAGTACTCCTCACTAGCTATGCTTACATGGACATAAGTAATCGGATTAAACGGACATTTGGAATAAAAATGCATCATGTAAACGCCCCATTTGGATTATTTTGAACTGATTCAGTTAGAACCGAATTAATTTGTAATCAGAATGAGAGGGGCGGTTTATGCAGATTCATAATCCGAACAGTGTACATGTAAACACTTAATCTGATCATCTTATTCTGATTGTGGAAAAGTGACCTGACTGTGCATGTGTGACCTGTCAACCTTACGTATTTCCGCCTGGTTAGATGCTAATATGTTGGGAAGCAAAACTGGTCAGTGAGCAACAACATTTTTAATGGAAACTTTGAAAGCGCTCAAAATGATCTGTAGTACCTGTAGCTCAGTCAGGGAGTGCAGTAACTTCTCCACCGTCATTAAAACCTGGCGCGGGTCCATTTTGGGCGCTCAGATTTGTTTAAGTTCATCACAGAAGTAGAACTTCTGCGTTTTGTTTTTTCCAAGGAGAGTTTACCACTCTGCACATGTCAGTACTTCTGTTGAGAATAAAAGTCCTCTGCATGTAAGCGCTCATCATGAACGGTTTGTGCTCATGTAAACGATGCATTCAGATTATTTAATCCAAATACATTTCAATCCAATCAAAGAATTTTGTGCACGTAAACATAGCTAGTATTGTTCTGTCGCTCATTTTGCCCGTTTGTCGTTTCGACGCTGTTCGATTTGAAAAGACTGAAAATGAGCTGATCACCTCTTCAAGCTTCTCTAAAATCGAAGCTAATATCCGAGCTTCTTGTTGGACTCGTGCCGTTTTCCTTTTTGTTCCTCTCCCATTTAAGCTCCTGTCTTTGTCAAATATCTTTTTTATCGCCTGCCATCCCCTCCTTGTCTCCCACACGCCCACCCACACTTCTCTCTCCGTGTAGCTCCAAACAGCTGTTCTTCTCACTATCCTCACCTCCAGAGTGTCAGAACGCATAATGAGCAGTTTCTCTTCAGAACACAAGCCAGAGCTTTTAATGGCAGCCTGTCTCTCTATCGGCTCTGACGAATGACTAAAGCAACAAGAGCAGCTACAGACGGAGACGAGAGGGACGTGACCTTCCATGTCACATCTATCAGCTTGTCTGACATTTTCCTGTTTTCTCTTATTTAAGATGCAACAAAGTTTCATCTAATTTTACATGAATGCCTCAGTGAAACTGAGAATTTTAAGGATGTCTTTACACCATTTAGATGTCTTGTGATTAAGCATTCAGAGAGCAGCTACTCTTGACACTTTGCTGCCACCTGTCACAAGAGAAAAGCCGACCTTCAGATTCTGTCCTTTTAATGGTCCAAGAGGACCCACTTGAGTTGGATTTTAATTTCTGATTCTTTATACATCTGCTGCTTTCTCTGCTCAGGCAGCGCTCAGCTCAACACCAATCTTGTTTCATTTGAGATCAAGTTTTATCACAAAATCTCTCCATCTGTATCAATCTGTTTCTGCTGCCAGGTTCACCTCCTGCGTACTGCAGGCGATGAGGTCACCATCACCGTTCGCTACCTGCGAGAAGTCCCATCGTTTCTCAAACTGCCTCTGGGTGAGCATTCACCGGCTGTGACACCATTCAGGCTGGCAATAAATTTCATCGGCTATTTTCAAAATGGCAAAGCAAACCCCATTTATGGCTTACCGCCGCTCCTCTTTTTGCACTTTTCAGTAGACAAACATCTATTTCAGAGATAAATTGCTTTGTTCAATGGTTTGGGTGGGGGGGGGGGGGGGGGCAGTGAAATTACAAACGGAGATGAGCTGCTCTTCCACAGCTTCAAGAGATAAAAATACAAACTTCATCTTGAGTTGAACATATGAACATGTCAACTGGAGGCAAGTGAGAAGAATAACAATGCACAAGAAAGTAGTTTTGAAAGCAAGCAAAATGTTGTGGCACGTTTGTTCCATTAACATTAGGAGCAATAAAGATGTTCACAGTTGATGGAAAAGGTTTAACAAACATCACTTAGGAGTACGAACATAATTAAGGGCCATTTATTTACCTTAATGACAGTTTAATAAACTGTTGCCAAATTGTTATGCTGATGATACACAGATATATTTGTCCAGGAAACCAAATGAATCCAATCAGCTACTTGGACTAGAAGCACGTCTTAAGGACATAAAAACCTGGATGACCCTAAATTTTCTGCTTTTAAACACAGACAAGACAGAGGTTTTAGTTTTTGGACGTGAGCATCTTAGAAAATAATTTTTCAGTTTTTCGCCCTCCTTAGATGGCATTAATCTGTCCTCCAGCTCTAATATTAAAAATCTTGGTGTTCTTTTTAATCAGGACATGTCTTTCATCCCCGCATTAAAAACTATACTAGAACTGCCTTCTTCCACCTGCGTAATATCACTAACATTAGAAACATCTGATCTAAAAATGATGCAGAAACACTGGTTCATGCATTTGTCACGTCTAGACTGGATTATTGCAATGGTTTATTATCTGGGTGTCCAAATACTTCTTTAAAAAGTCTTCAGTTGATCCAAAATGCTGCTGCCAGAGTCTTAACTGGAGTTAGTGGGCGATATCATATCTCTCCAGTTTTGGCTTCTCTCCATTGGCTCCCTGTCAAGTCCAGAATAGAATTCAAAATCTTACTTCTAACCTACAAAGCCCTCAACAACCTAGCTCCATCTTGTATCCGATATCTTATTGTTCCATATTTTCTTAACAGAGCACTTCACTCTCAGACTGCAGGTTATCTCGCAGTTCCTAGATTTTCCACAAGCAGAATGGGAGGAAGATCTTTCAGTTATCAGGCTCTTCTCTTGTGGAACAAACTTCCAGATTCTGTCTGTGAGGCTGACACATTGTCCAGTTTTAAGACTTTCCTTTTTGATAAATCCTTTAGTTAGGGTTGACTTGTTATGCTGCTATAGGCTTAGACTACACTCATTTCCTTAAATGATTTGTTAAAATTGAATAGTTTTCATTTGATATTTCTTGCTTAACATGATTCTTGACCTGCCATTGTGTATCTGTTCCTACCAAACCCAGCCGGTCGAAGCAGATGGCCGCTTGTCCTGAGCCTGGTTCTGCTAAAGGTTTCGTCCTCATGAGGAAGTTTTTCCTTTCCACTGTTTCCTTCATGCTTGCTCAAGATGAGAGTTCTGTGATGGAGTTAAATTCAAAACAGTCTGCTCCTCAGATAATGTTAAATTATTATTTTTAAATACAAATGTTTCTGTTAACTTATTTTATATATGAATGTTTCTGTTCAGTGCCCTGAGACGACTTCTGTTGCGACTTGGCGCTATATAAAAAGCCCTGAATTGAATATTAACTTCACTGTGGTTGGTCTTGTTGAATTGAGACTGATTTGGTTCATCTGTAACTAATTTCTGTGCAGTTTTAACTTCCCCATCTTCTACTGTTGATTTGTAATCTAGACACGGAGGCAACAGGTCCAAGAGAAACCCAGACCTCCCTCTCCACAGTGAACCTCTCTAGCTCCTCCTGTGGGACCCTGAGGCATCCCTAGGCCAGAGATGATACACAATCCCTTCAGTGAGTTCTGGAACTGCCTCAGGGCCTCTTTCCAATCAGATATTGATGAAGCATCTCTAAAGGGGAGGTATCCTTATCAGATGCCCGAACCACCTCAACTGGCTACTTTCAATGTGAAGTAGCAGAAGATTTACTCCTAGCTCCCCTCGAATGATAGAGCTCCTCACCCGATCTCTTAGGCTGAGCCTGGCCATCCTACAAAGGAAACCCATTTTGGCCACTTGTATCCAGTTTCTCTTTCTTTCCACCCTGATCCATACCATATGACCATGTATGAGGGTTGGAACATAGACCAGTAAATCAAGAGCTTTAGCTCAGATGTTTCTTCAAGATCACCGACTGAAGCAACTTCCTCATTTCTGAAGATGAGGCTCCAATCTGTTCATCCATCTTCTGTTGCATCATACATAACTCGCAAAAAAGACGCCCAGATATTTTAACTCTTCCACAGAGGCAAAAACTAACATTGGGGAACACTTCTGGGTTCCCCAAGAGGAGCTGGAGCGTATGCAGGAAGGATGAGTATGTGGGTATTCCTCCTGGACCCAATACCTCTGAGACTCGCATAACTGGAAGAAAAAGGATTTAATTCCCTCACAGATCACCGTTGCATTTTATATCATATCTAAACTTCTTGCAGCTCCCATCTGACATGAACTCACATCAAAGCTGTGAGATATTTAATCGTTTGCTAAGAAACAAACATCCACCTCACCAAACTCACTGATTTTAACTCTGGTGGATTTGTTGTTAGAAAAAAAATTAACTTTTGTGTCAATAAATTTAGTTTACACCAGCAAACATAATCATTACATTAAAGTAGTCTCATTCCTAAAGATACACAGATGTGGGGGAATGATTAAAACTGCAAGGAGAGTATGAATATTTATATCTGATCAAATCTCCTCAAATGAAAAGTGATTACTATGAGAAAATAGTCCACGCATGTTGTGGTTAAGACGGGATTCAGAGGATTTCAGTTTGATGTTTGGCCTGCTGAAATGAAGAATGGAGTTTTTTTTTCTTTTCTATGGGACAAATGACATCAGAAAAAACTAACATCCTATCACACTTTAGACGGTAGGCAGGGGTGAGCAACTTTTTTTTTTTTCCAGACAGCCAAATCTGTAAATTTAAAGGAATCTAAGGGCCGTATTGAGAATTGGAAAATACATTTTCTTTAAGACAGGTAACATGGAAAGCTTTTTTTGGTAGCATAATTTGCATGCTTGATTAACAAAAAGGGGCTAAATTGGCTAATCTTAATCCAAAGGTTTGTGATGTATATTTGTCAAAGATGTTTAATTTAAATTTCTTTGTTTCATTGATAAAATGCAGTTTTTCTCAACTCAAGTTTTATTTTAAATTAAGTTATTGGCGGGTGGAAGTTGGTCTCCGCCATGGCTGCCTGTTGTTCATAACTTTTATGGACAGAGTAGCTCAGTGCAGGGAATTGAGGGATTCTGGTTCAGTGGCTTCAGGATTCCATCTCTGCTCTTTGCAGATGATGTGGTCCTGTTGGCATCATTGTGCTGTGATCTTCACCTCTCACTAGAGCAGATTGCAGCAGATTATGAAGCGGCTGGGATGAGATCTTCTCAAGTGGAGGAGTTCAAGTATCTCGCGATCCGGTCCATTGTGGTGAAGAGGGCGCTGAGCTCTAAGGCAAAGCTCTCTGTTTACAGGCCGGTCTACATTCCTACCCTGAACCTGGTCATGATCTCTCAGTAGTGACCGAAAGAATGAGATCACAGATACAGGTGGTTGAAATGTTTTCTCCACAGGATAGCTGGACTCTCCCTTAGAGATAGGTTGGGAAGTTCAGTTATCCGGGAGAGACTCAGAGTAGAACCATTGCTCCTCCACATTGAGAGGAGCCAGTTGAGGTGGTTCAGGCATCTGGTAAGGATGCTCCCTGGGTGCCTCTCTAGGGAGGTGCTTCGGGCATGTCCGACTGGGAGGAGACCCTGGGGAAGACCCAGGACACACTAGATAGACCATGTCTCTCGGTTGGCCTGGGAACGCACTTTGGAATCCTCCCAGAAGAGTTGGAAGAGGTGGCTGTGGAAAGGGATGTCTGGGCCTCCCTGCTCAAGCTTCTGCCCCGACTTCGAAACAAGCAGTAGATGATGGATGGATGGTTATTGGTGCCCAGATGGATATTGTCCAAGGGCCACTTTAGACCTTCCAGCCATATATTGCTCACAACTGCTTTAGTGTGTAACGGAACCACAAAACTTCCATCCAAGAGCAGCATTCCTTTCTTTCAAATGCTGCCTGTGATCTACAGAGATTTGCTTAAAGGCAGGACACCGTAGTAGAGTCAATAATAAACTTTATTCCATCACTACAAATGTGTTTTCAGTGGAATAAAAGTAATGCACATGGGTTGGACTGGGTAATTTAAAGTAATATTTAGATATCTTTTTTGTTAAGATGAATCCTTCTCCTGTTTTGTTTCTTCCTCAGGGTCTCCAGGGTTGGATCACAGGCGAGCGTCTTCCCCACTCTTTGACAGCGGTTTGCATTTAAATGGAAATGGAAGCAACACGGTAAGAATCGTCTCTTTTGATATTTTTTGTTTGATCTATCTCTGTCAGAGCCCAGATCTTCTGAAGTCTCACATGGAGCTAAAATTTTATTTTATGAAATTATAGGAGCACATCAAGTGTAACAAATTACCTGAGGGCCTGGTTTATGACTGTTGTTGCTGGCTTCTGCAATGATGTATGGATGATAGAACGTTATTTAAAAATCGATATGTTCTAAGTTCCCTTTATCTCAACTCTTGGCTTGGCAACAGTTTTTTTCCCATTGGTTTGGTAATTTTAGATATAAACTACTTTTAAATTGCTTTCAAACTACTCCAAATGGGGAACGCCATGATGGTGATGTGAATTTAAAATATTATCCTTCCAATTACCCTCATTCTTTGAGCTCCGTGACAAACATTGGTTGAATTAAGAGCCTTATGAGACAAATTGGCGTGGGTTGGTTGAAAAAGATGTTTCAGTTAGTTTCTGACACTAAAGGAAAAAGCGGGTAAAACATAAAAAAATAATGACCATACGTGTTCAGGGACTGCAGTCGTTGGTGTGGGATCAGGGTGCTCCTCTGTCGGCCCGTTTCCTCCAACCAAGTGGTTCAAACATTTACATTTGGCTGTTCAAAGCCAACTCTGAAGGAGTCTAATCCAACAATCGCATTTCTCTGAGTAATCTGCTTTGGAACCATCTTGAACACCTTGCATACGAGGCTTGTCAGCATATCAGCCATCACTATTGCAAGTCTCGTACCAACAAAACTTATTAAATACCATTTTTCTGCTGTTTTGATCAATGTAAACCACAACTACTGTGCTGTATTGTAGTGTATTCAAAGTTCTGTTTGCCTGATATCCGGGTACTTGCAGACGTCTCATATTGCATAGGAAGCTATTTTTAATAACCCTGACCAGTGCTATTAATTTGCTTATTTGACAGTAATTTTAAAGTAATTGTTACTTAAAGGTTAAATTGGATGAAAAAAAAAAACCCATGCATTCATGTCTGTTATCAAAATATTTCATGAACCAGTGGTTGGAGTTTAATACAACTCCAACAAGTAAACATTAGATGCATATCTACACCTGTTTAGAGTCAACCCCATTCAAGATGACTGCCACATCATTGTGCAAAAAATCCTGATCCAGCCCTTTAAAGAACCTGAAAATCTATTGATGAAGACCACTTTACCAGGATTACAGGATAGTCTGAATGGTTGGACGTACAATATAATGAAATTACAGTTGGTTGAAAAGTTTTGCACAATATTTTATTTGGTATGAATGTCTTGCAGAAGATTTTCTGACATCTAGATGCTTGTTACTGCTTTCTTTTTGAATAAATCCAAGTCCAAACTATTTGTGTTCATGTCAACACGTCCTCCTGTAATGGCTTCTTCCGTCAAAGCTGTTGTGAATTATACAAGACATGAGTAATTCATGTGGGTTCACTAAAGGATCTTCATCCATGACTTATTAAATGTTAGCAGCTGTAATCCCACATCATCTGAGGTCCTCTCACTTCAAACAGAAAACATTTGGAAATGCTTCATCTGCATGTGGACCTGGAACTGCATCACACGGAGACAGACAATAACGAGTAAATGTGCCAGATTTTCATTCAGAAATTTAAAAAAAAATAAAAATCTTCAAACCTGCCATGTCGAAGAGAAAACTGTGCAGATTAATTTCATATACTGGCTCAGCCTTTCCAGCACCAGGGTCCTTTACATCTACAAGATCTTTAATATTTTCAGATAAACATTTAATTTCTGCCATGGAATCAGTTTTTTATTTATTTATTTATATTAAAGACTAAACCCTAAAACATCCTCCAGCTGAGGTAGTCACCCAGAGATGTGCATGGATTTATCTGAAGTCACCAAAATCTGCATAACAAACTGTTGAATGTGCAAGTTTTTATCAGAACTTTATTGGTATCCGCTCAAGTGACGTTCAGAAATAAAACTACAAAACATGAGTGTTTGCACAAATGAATGACAGATGCATTCTGGGAATAAAGACGCATTTACAAACATTAGGTTGATAAATTCATCTACATCTGTTCACTTTAAACTGGTCTATGAACCTGTTTTTTTATTGCTGTTTTAAAAGAAAAAAATGCTTAATGGGATTCCTAATTTATAAAAAAGAAACTGTCCAGATGACCTGACTGAAAAGTGTTGTATTGTATACCTGGATTATTGAGCATGGACTTTTTTGGATTCAGGGTTGTTGCAATTAAACATTTTCATAATAAAACGCCTAAAAATAAAAGTGTAAATTTAACTTTTTAAAACAATGTATTTTAATCTGTAGTGAGTTGCTCATTGAAAGCTTTTTTTTTTTTTTTACAGTTGATAAGATTTGATAAAAATCTGAATAATGCAATAATCTGACAAATCACTGGTTGTCATGGTGATTCCCACCTTTCTTTGGGGACCCAGGGAAAGACAGTGGTAACACTCTGCAATGTAAAAATTAATTGTATATTACATTTAGAACATTAATTTACTGAATAAACTGCAAATGTTACTCTGGATTATGAAAATTATTTTAGTTGACTGAATCCGAACTGTTTGTTTGAAAACTGACTTTCAAAAAAACATGAGAAGTTATAAACAGTCAAAATGATGTTCAGCTCCTGCTCACTTTTGTTGCTTCAAATAATTCAATCTAGCTTTTAATCCCAGTTGTCAGCTATCATTCTAAATGTTCAATTAATGTCAAAGTGACAAGTTGAACAGATGTAAAACAAAAGTTTAATTATTTAATGATGTCATAATAGATTTATGTTATAACTTTTAATTGGAAGCCCGCCAAAGAGTTGAACAAAAACTGGACTTGTATTTTGAAGCTGAAGACATTTCACTTCCCATCCAGGAGACTTTATCAATTAAAAAATATCTGGAGTGTGTGGCGTTCCAAGCTTTAACTGCATGAGAGGCCTGGTTGTGCACCTAAATTCACCTGTAGATTAGACTGGAACTACTCGTTGTGCACAATGGAGGCTCTTTAGGTTCTTTGTTACCTTGCTCATGAGAGAGATGTTTGGTCATGTGCATGAAGGTGTGAACTGGAGTGAAGCTGAATTGGAATCGAGCCTAAAGCTGCATTGTAGGTGTTTGAAAGTTCAAATCAGATGGCTTCTTTCACCCCTTCCCTCTTAAAATGTCTGTCTTCTCTGTCCATAATATTAACATTTTGGTCTTCAGCAGTGTCCCTTATCCTTGATGTAGGTGGACCGCTGAGTCTTGTCCTGAAGAGCAGCTCTCCAGTACACCCCACTGCTCAGTTTGTGTTTGGGGGTTTTATCCTTCAAAAGGACCAGCCTCTGCCTTAGGGTCCTGTTAGGTTTGAAATGCACTGAGATGTTTGGAAAAAATCTTTCCAAGTTTCTTAGATACTCCAGCAACATATGGGATGGCAATGATTTTGGTGTTTGTTCTTCTATTTGTTCTGTTCTGTGGTGTTTTCTTAGATTTCCTCACTGAATTGACAAAGGCCCAGTTAAGATATCCACAAGTTTGAAGAGCTTTGATGTTTTTGTGCTTTTTTGTTCTCTTCAGTCTTTGTGAGGACTTGTTCGGCCCGGAGGTGTGAAGTTCTAATGACAGAAAGTTTGTTCCAGTGGGTGGTGAGAGTTTTAACAGCAGGTACTGATGTGTGAGAGCAGGTTTCCTGTAAACTTCAATGGTGAAGCTTCCTTCTCTTTCCATGTCCACCAGACAGTCCAGAAAAGGCAGCTTGTTGTCGCTGCATCCTCTCTGGTAAACTTGATGTTGTCCACAGAGTTGATGTCTGGTGAACACTTCTACTTCTTTTACATAGATTTTGACCCAAGTGTTAGAGTCGGAATCAGAGAGATTTGTCATTCGCATCTCATGTGGTACATGTGGTGGAACAAAATTATGTATGCAGGGTCCCAGTTACATCAAACAATAATAATGTAAAAGAAAAACAAAGGTAACAACTAAGATCTAAGAAAAACATCAGCTAAATATTAGGGATGGGGCCGATCCGATCCAGTATCGGTATCGGCCTCCGATACCAGCATAATTTACGGATCGGATTTTTCCGATCCACGTGCCAATATTTCCGATCCATGATGCATGTCTGTGGTTGCGCTGTACGTTGGCTTCAAACTATGGAATGGATTTCATGAACGGCAGCTTGTCTCATGAATCCAGAGTAATAAGACCCGCCTCACATTCAGGAAATCCAGTTCATAGTTTGCAGCCAGCTACAACGTGAGGACTGAGTTAGCAGCACTGTGGCTAACAGCTAACCAACTTTTCATCTAAACATGTCCGCTGTGTGGAAGTATTTGACACTAAAAACACCACAAAACAAGACCGTAATGTGCAATGTCTGCAGAGCCATAGTGCCACATTAAACCATGTTAAAGTTAGTTTTACGATGGACATTCGAGCTCCGTGGCTTCAGCGAGGCGCTACTCTCGCTGAATACGAAAGAGGCGACTCGACCTCGGCCAGCCGTGTCCAAAATGTTTAGCAATATGTCATTTCATGCTGCTTTCGAGGAGTCTGAATGGTGGTCCTATTTTGGGATGTTCATATAACCATGGAGTGACTTCCCCTAAATAGAATCTGCAGTAAAATGAATGATTGATTACCTTGTCTTTTTCAAGTTGGAAGTACAGACCCTTTACAAAAAATTAGAATATCATGGAAAAGTTGTTTAACTTCCATAATTCCATTCAAAAAGGTGATCTTTAATAGATGATAGATTCAGGGCCCGCAATTTAAACAATTTCAAGTATTTAATTGTTTATTTTTACATAATTTTGATATTTGTGGATATTTTCTCCTAATAATCAGAAGTGTTGGGGACCACTGTGCATCTCTGTCAGCTGGTGAAATTGGTCCTGGCTAAGTGATGTTCTAGTTTTTCCTTCTGTGTTGAGATTTGAAGGAGGTGGTTTGGCACTGGAGTGTTGATGTTCTCTTCATTCTGAGTTGTTCTGCCTCTGTTTCAGTCAGGTTGTTC